TTTTCCTCCTCTTCTCCAGACTGAACCCCCCCAGTTCCCCCAGCCGCTCCCCAGCAGACCTGTGCTCCAGACCCTGCCCCAGCTCCATTGCCCTTCTCTGGCCACGCTCGAGTCACTCAATGGCCTTTGTGGGGTGAGGGGCCCAAAACTGAACACAGTAAATTCATCCCTTTCCACAACCTGGAACCGAAGGGCTGACTGCTGGGCCCAGCCTGGCAGTTCCACTTGGGCTTTAGTGTCAGGATTTTGTCCCTCCCACCTGCCCGATCCAGTCTCTTTGGCCCAGTGCCCTGCCTTGCCCCACATGCAGGAGGGGAGCAGCCCTTGGGGGGGTGTCCCCCAGGGTAGAGGGGCACCGAGCCCTCTGTCAGAGCAAAACATACTGAACCAAGGTCTCTGCACATCTCACTGCACAGTTCCTGCTGAACCAGGGTGAAAAATTTTCCTCCTCTTCCCCCCGTAGAGCAGAGACCAACAGAACACGCAGAAACCCTTACGAGACACTAAGCACTTGCAATGAGAAAGATTTGTGATTGGCACCGTCACCCAGAGCTGCAAATGATTTGCCTCCAACACTGTCTGAGCTCAGTTCTGCCTCATAAAACAAGAACAATGTTTCGCTGAACAGTACTGGCTGCTGAGAAATACGAAAACCCTTCCCCAACGCAGAGAAACGCTCACTGAATTAAACCAGAGCAGATCTCCCCACAAGACAGCTAATTTCCATCCAGGGAGGCCTGGCATAGAAAAGGTTTAGAAAAAACAAAATTAGCAGAGGCATCTGCCCTTCTAAAGACCCTTCAGACCAGAGCACCACGCACACTCTGCCTGTGTCTGAGCACGACGCACGTGTGCGAGACACGGATGAAAAAACCTACTGCCTGAACAGAGCTCCAGGGAGATCGACTCGCATTTTGCGACACAAAAACCCAAGAGCTCGCCTACAACCGGCTCTTTTACATCCTGCGAGTCACCTTTCCGTTCATCCCGTCACCTTACCTCGCATCTAAAATGCCTTCATACTCCAAAAGCTGTCTCATGAAGCCTGCGTTTGGCCTTGCGATGCTGCGTTTTTGCTTCACATAATTATAAGCCTTTTCCAGCGACCAGCCGAACTCCTTCATGGCGTAAGCTATGACGGTAGATGCCGAGCGGCTCACGCCCATTTTGCAGTGCACCAGGCACTTGGAGTGATTCTTCCTGCAGAAGGGACAAACAGGAAAAATCTGTCTCATCTTTCTGGTTACGGTGTGGACGGACAGGACTTTGTCCTCCTGACTACACGCCTCAGTATGCCAGAAATATTTTGGATTAAGTGGGTCATGAGAAGAATCTCTCTCCAGAAAAACTGGAGGTTACAGCTCAGTTGTGCTGCTATTTCAGGGACCACCATGAAGCCTCCTGCTCGCCCAAGTCTTTGGATACAGGGATAAGCAGGAATGACCAGAGTGTAAAAGCCCAGCAGAGTCTGACGGGCTCTGTCACCATCTCTCGTCTGCAGAGACAGCTGGGGTTAGTCCAACACAGACGGGTGTTGGATTATTTCCAGACCAGGAAATGTCCTCATTTCCTTTTGGAAGCAAAACAAAATAATAATAATAAAAAAAAAAAATCACAGGCTGCGAACAGGTTAATGCCAGTCCAGGAAGAGAAGAAGGGGGAAGTTCCAGGGACACAGAAACCCCCTGGCAGCAGCAGTCATGCGGAGGCGGTGCGGCTCCAGCTCCGCGCGGGGTGACGCCGTGGGGCTGGTGTCACCCCCCTGCCCCGGACGTGCTATCACCCGAAGTCGTGTCTCCCAGCCCACTTACTTGGCCTTGTTGATGAAGTGGTAGGCCTCGTTCCAGTGAGCCAGGAGGTCTGTCGTCTCCTCGTCGTACACGCGGATGTTGTGATACGCAAACAAACCGGGGAAAAAATTATCAATTTCCCTGGTCACGTTCAAAATGTAATCAATGCTGCGGAGAATGAAAAGAAAAATTAAGTTGAGCTGCTGTGGTCATGAAAGGGAACTGGCACACACTGCAAAGTCCACGAAATATAACACAACACTCGTTGTAAGGTTTTATCTGCAACCCTAATCCTGAACCCCTGGGCCTCCGGTGACACCGGTCACACACGTGGCGTGCGGGGCCATTCCACTCGCCTCTCGCCACCACCAGATCCCCCTCGAAGCGTCAAAAGACTCTGGGTGCAGGAGAGAAAAGTTTATTTTATTCCATCTGCTGAGGCTTTGTAACCTACTCAGCCTCCTCACTCCGTGCCACGCACAGCTTCTGGGATGCTGGAAGAAGAAAAGCGCATCGGCTGCGAGTGATTCGCTTGGGCAAGAGCTGGGAACAGACCCCAGGAATCACAAGTTTCAACTGCAGGCTTTAGCTGCAAAACCATCCTTTTCTCTTCTTTCTGACCAAAAATATGAAACGAGAGTCACATGGTATCTCTTGATTCCTGCCAAATATTACAGCAGGGATTACAATGTACCCAGGGAGAACAAATGCCCATATTGATTTATTACCTCGTATCATTCAGATAAATCAAGGACACAGGATATTTGTTTCAGAATTTGTCCACCTTTGACTTTTAGACACTGCACGTCAAGCTGCCTTCCCCGCAGATCAGAAGTATTAACGCGCTGGTCGATTTACTTGTTCAAAGATGTTCAGACATCTGTTCCCAAGGACTCCAAATTAAACATTTTCAGTCATGCCGTTGAGCAATATTTTTTCAGTTTCTCACATCAGGGTTGGTGTACGCCTTGGGCAAGCAGCAAATATTTATATGCAAAATTCTCGCTCGTCCAAAAAGCGTGAAAAGTAAATCAAGCCAAGAAGTGGTGCGGTGATGAGAGCGCGGTGAAAGACAGCCCTGCAGCGGCCTGTCTGGGCAGGTGAGATGGAGGTTGCTCACCCACAGGAAGTTCTGCTCCATTTAGATTTTTTTTTTTTTCCTCCCCCCCCTAAGCTTAGTGCTGTAATAGTTGCTCTTCTGCAGCCTGCAGGAATTCACACCTGACACAACAATACGTACGGCTCGGCTGCTACACGTTACGGGGAGGGGGGGGGGGTTGGAGATGTTGATGTACTTCACGCAAACGAGACGTTTTGTTATTTTTGCTCTACGTGTTATTGATAGAAATGAGGTAGGAATGGTTTCACGACCGAGGTCCTGACGGTAAGTTACCCACATCGCTGGGAATGGGCCCAAACTCATCCCTACGGTCTACAAACATCATATGTCACCTCGAGAAACCTGAAGTTAAAGGGAAAGAACTGGAGGTTTCAGAGTCTAAGGCTGGTGCTTGGAAGGCACAGTACTCACCCCGAGCCCTGCAGCTCCTCCAGGTTGGAGGCGTTCCACTCCGAGCCCTGCAACAGCCACAAAAGACACATTTCAAAGGAGCCCGAGAGCCTCCCTCCTTCCTAAGGCTCTGCAATAGTCCCCCAGCCTCAGCAATCTTCCTTAGCTGCTGACAGAAACACTGGTAAGAACCCCTGAAACAGGAACACGGCAGCGGGGCAGCCAGCTCTGCAGCTCAGCACAGGGATGGCCCGTCCTGATCCCTGAAGGAGGGGACAAGGGCACTACATCCCCGCCCAAGGAGTCAGCTCTAGGCCAGCCTGTGACCCAGCGCGTCCCAAATCACTGTCCCCGGCCACTCCGTATTTTTAATCGCAGAGATAAATAGTGCAGGGGAAGAGATTACGTGTGGCCTGGCTGGGATCGCAGGTGTAAGAGAAGCGAGGCAAAACCTGAAGGCCGTGGGGGTGGTTACACCTCGGATCCCCCCATACCTGCAAACCAGAAAGGCTTTAAAAAGCAGGTTCTGCCCTCAGACATGAGCACTTCCTCACTCTCTCCAGAACAACAACAAAAAAAGACCCAAGCATAACAGCCAAACGTGTTGATCTCAAGCAAGTCTTTGTTCCAGATGGCAGCGCCTGGTTTTGCTTGGAGTACCATCTAGTGGCAAAGGATCAGACAAAGCCCAGGCCGCTCTGCTTCTGCGCAGGCTGGAGCGGCCCATCGCCCTCGGCCTCACTCCGTACAGCTCTGGCAGTGCCTGCAGGGCTTCAGGGGCTCAATCGAGAAAAACAACACAGTCCCCCCCCCGAATCAAAGAGCAAACGGCTGTCATGCCGGGGCAGCACCCACAGCCAGACCCTCTGCTTGTCATAAAAGAAAATCTCCGTTGCTAGAAATAGAAAATGAACGTGCGCAGAGAGAACTCGAGCTACGCCACGGCTCGTCCTGAAACAGGATCAACCTGCCACGAAAGAATCAGTCAAGTCCCAGAAACAAGAAGTAGCTAGAAAAAAGGGCTTCTCTACTGCGGGCTTTTACAAACCTAGGTCCTGGAGTAAAGTGTGTGCAAAGGGCGGGACAGCAGGCTGCACCTCTCGCCCACATCAGCCCTGACACCAAACCCACCTTCCTCTGAGCCCAGTGACTTGTCAGACCCCTCCCACTGAGCCTCCTGCTGTTCTGGAGCTCCTAACACAGCAGCTTACCAGATATAAATGATCAAAAATCAGAGATGGTTTGTCCATCTGACCCAGGATAAGCAGCATTTCGTTGTCTATAAATTCCTTGAATTCCTTCAAGTTGCAATTCATGTGTTTCTCCAGCTCGTTTCGTATCTGCAGAGCAGAAAACAAAAGATGCCACCTAGAATCACGTCTGTCCAGCAGAAACATTTGTTGGCTCGCCTTTGCAAAACATTTTTTCTGTACTTCATTAAAAACAGCAAAAGGGATTCGACCTTTAGGAGCCAAGGAATCTCACTACTGACATCACTCCAAGTATCCCAGGCCCCCAAATTGAAGAGTTGTAAATAAAGCTTCAGGTAACAGAAAAAAAGAAAGGATTTGGGCTTCTTAAAAATAATTTGAGAGATAAAAAACAAGACCTTGGAGAGCAGCTAAGAAAAAAAAAAAGTAAAACCCATTAGAAGCAAGGAGTGACTAACGGCAGCAGCGTTGGGGAAGAGAGAGCTTTCCAGTCCTCTCCCACAGTTCTCACTGCACCTCAGCTTTGGGAAGGCACGAAGCAAAGCAGCACAACGTTGGTTAACCCACGGCGGAAGATGGTGGCAGCAAAATGGAAGCACCTTGACTGCCCCAAGAATTAAGAACACGTAGGCAGACAGACGAGTTCTCAGCTCACGCTGCTGTTACACGAGGGCATGCGAAGCCCTCGGTGGTAAAGCTTTAGGAAGGGAAGTCCCGCATGTTAACAGCCCCCCTGGACGCACAAACAAAAACCCAACCCTGAAAGAATTATTTCCGTTTGCTCTGAATATGTCTGAGCTGTGGCTGGATGCATTTACACCGGCCTTTGGGATGGATCCCAACTAGCCTTTGCCCTTGATTTGAGATTTTCCATCCATAAATTCACTAGACAAACGCTGTCTGCAAGCCCCTCTGATATTTCTTCAGGAGCAAAACAAATAAAACCTTAAAATGAAGCCAACAGGAGAAAGGAAGGCACTTCGCACTGCTGGTGAGCGAGTCAAGGTTGGGACACTCATCCAACACCAACTGCCCCTTTTGCCAGGGCTGCCTTTGCTCACCTAATTCCCAGGGATGCACCGAGGAAAAAGCGTCTGCAAATTCACTGCTTGGCCCTGCCTGCGTGTGCTACAACCAGCCGAGGCACCGGCATCACCTCTGACGCCACTTTTCTGGCGAAGAACCAGGCCTTATGCACTGGAAAGTCACACACTTGTTACTAAGGTCTTGAAAAACGCGCTCTGAAGCTGGTATTATCCTGATTTCCCCGCTGGGAAAATGGGGGTAGAAGCAAAGCCAAAGAGCCCGGCCTTGATGGAATGGCTGGAAACACGGATTCAGAAGCCAGTGACACCCAGTCAGCACTCTCTGGAAATGGAGTCTAGCAAGAAGGGTAAGATAACAGGAATTGTTACATTTACCTCCTTAGAAGTCACATTTTCCAGGTCTTTGCTCATCATGATGCTCCGGAGTTTGGCTTTAATGAGCCGTTCTGTTCGTTCTCTTTCGGTTGGCCTGAAAAGGAAAAGGAGGGGATGTCTCCAAGCTGGCAGGAAACCTACAGCACAACTCGTACAGCACAGAGGAGCCGTGGTAAAGACTTGTATTAAAAGCAATTTTTATGAGAATAATGGAAGAAACACATTTGAAGACATTTTTATGAAAAGAAAGGAAATGAACCGCCGGAGGAAGAAAAAGGAGAAGGGGAGACTTCTCTCATGAGTCAAGGCAAATTTTTCTAAGAAAATTCAGAACTGACTTGTCAACAAATAGAGCTGGAGAGTCGGGGCGGGTGGACTCCAGGTCCTGCATCGCGTTCCACTCGTTGATGCAGCTCTGGTCGGAGCTGATGCAGCTTTCGTAGTACGTGGCCCACACCAAGGCCATCCCCCCCGGGAAGTAGTTGTACCTCCTTGCAACTTCACAGGCTTTATGGAGGATCTGTAAGGCAGACCTGCAAGTTGGGAGAAGGAATTTGCGTAGATGTGAGCGGCAGGAACAGAGAGAGCAGGATCTGACAGATTTTCACAGAGAAAAACGGTTTTCAACATTGTCTGTCGCTTTTTGAGAGCGGATGATTTATTGTATCAGAGTTCAGAGAGGGCACAAACTGCACCTTGGAGGCCTTCTCCAAGGCAGAGGCTGAAATCTTCTCCTGATTAGCAGGCAAGCACAAGGCCCAAGTCGCTCTGGGATCTAATCATTAGCTAACTTGTAAAGCCAGACCAAAGGAAAATAAAGAACATGGACAATTTTCAAACCACCCTCAGCAAGGAGTCAAATGCATATTTACCAGCATTCTTGGCCTCTGACATGCTCCAGGGACAAGGCCCAGATTGGGTCATTTGTTTTTGCAAATTCTAGCATTACTTTTTCTTTCCTTCCCTCCTCATTTTTTTCT